TAATAATTTACCAAATATTCTATTTAAATTATTTTAATATTAAATAAAAACAATTTATTAATATTTTATTTTAGAATTCTGGTGAAATAAGTCAATATCTTCTATATTGTATCAGAGATGTAGTTACATGTTAGAATTTTAGTTATTTAGTCTAGATGCGTTTAATTGAAATTAAACTATATATTGATATTTTAGTTATTACTTTACCAATTGATGACAATTCTGATGCAAGAAAAGATAGATATTAACTTGCTAAAATTATGCTAGCTAAAAAAGAATGAAAATTATTAGTTGATTTATGTTTTATATTAAAAGGATTTGTGAAAACTACTACTTATCTTAGAACAAGTAAATATGTCACACATAGTATTATGAGTCCTTTATTAAAAAAGATTAAAAGACGAATTAAACTAGCAAATTTAGTATTTGAAACTGATATAGATTTGAAAAATATTGATGATGTTTTTGAAAAAATAGATAAAGGTGAAATATTAGAAATCAATGAGAAAAAAATTGATTCTACAATTAATCAACATCAAAAATTAAATCTTAACAATTCTTTAGATACTTATGAAATGTTAAAAAAAGTTAAATATCATTTATATAAAGCAATAAAAATTTATTGGCATACTAAAGAAGGAGATGCATTAATATTAACGATACTTAATCCTAGAATTAAATCCCTTACTTTTATTAATAATTAAAATTTAAAAGATCAAGCAAAGATATTATTACAAAATAAATATAATATACTTAAAGAAGAAAATTTATCATCAATATTACCAGAAATAAGATCAACACCATCACGAAGTTTTCTTTATCAAATATCATTATTTTCTATTTTGAAAAATAACAAATTCAACAAGTTAATAATGAAGTTTCAGTATATTTGAATTTATCTGAAATAAATTTTGAAATAAATCCATTTTATTGGTGACATGATTATAAAGATCAATTTTTTCTTTTTTCACAATTAGCACAAATTTATCTTCCAGTTCTAGCAACTTTTACTCTGAGTGAAAGGTTGTTTAGTGATGCTGAAAATCTTTTAACTGTAAAAAAATACGCTTAAATTTAGAGTTATTTAAACGTTTGATATTTTTAAAAAGAAATGTTTCATTTATTGATAATATTCATCTACCAACTAATAAATAATCATAAGAATAGGTGGAATATTGAAAAGGATGAAATTAATGATCAGCTATACAAGATAAGGGATTTAAAATTGTATTATTTTTTGATTTATAATAGGTTTTCTAATAAAATATTATTTATCGTAATTATGTTATATAATTTACGATTTTTTAAATTTATACAATTTAATAAATTTTTTATTTTAATTTTTTTTCGATATATATTATATTATCTTTTTTTATTTTAAAATATAATATATTAATACATTAAATATTTGTATGTAAAAAAGAAAAAACACTAATTAATATAATTAATTTTTCTTTAAAAAAATGAATTAAACTCTCTCATTTATTATCAAAGAATCCTTCAAGAAGAATTACTTATCTAAAGACCTACTTCTAAGAAAAAAAAGAAATTAAGTTAGAAAAAAGAATTCCTAAAAGAAGACTTGCTATCTAACTAAAAAAAGAAGAAACCCCCTTAAAAGTACTTCCAAAAAATCCTGAAAGAAGATTTACCTATATAAAGAGAATAAAAGATCCATAACTAAAAAAAGAAAGAAGTTAATAAAAAGAATAATTTTACTTCAAAGAATCCCTGAAAGAAGACTTGAGAACAAAAGTTTTGTTATAGAAAAAGAAAAGAAATGTTAGTAAAAGAAAAAATCCGCTCTCAAAAGTATTTGAAAGAAATTTATCTAAATAAAGAGAACAAAAGATTTCTTCTAAAAAAAAGAAAATGAAATTATTAAAAAAGAAGAAATCTATCTCAAAAGAAATTCCAAAACCCAAAAAAAAAGACTTATCTATATGAAGAGAATAAAGATCCGCTACTAAAAAAAGAAGAGAAAAAGTTAATAAAAGAATAATTTTACCCTAAAATAACCATCTAAAGATGACTTATTCTTTTTCAAGCAAATGAAAGTTCCACTCCTAAAAAGAAAAAGGAAAAAAAAACCTTTAAAAAATCCTCAAAGAATCCTACAAAAGAAGATTTACCTTAAAGAATACTCTTAAATTTAAAAAATAAAAGAAAGTAAATAAATAAAAAAAAAATAAAAAAGTAAAAATTTTTAAAAAAAAAAAATAAAAATAAAAAGTAAAGGTTTAGAAGAGTAAAAAAAGAATTTTCAAAAAAAAAATAAAAAAAAAAACAAATAAATATAATAAATAAGTAAAAAAAAAAGATATATTTTAAAAAAATTGTATGAAAGGAAAAATTAAGAAAGTTTTTCGAAAAGAACAAAAAAAATCATTAAATCGTTAAATCATTAAATTTTCATTTTTTATTTCTGTCTTCATTGTTGATAGATAAATAATTTCAGAAAAAAAAAATTAAATAGAAATTTTAAAAGAAAAAAAATTAAATAAATAAAATCAATTGAAATGATTAGATAGTCGAAATAAATTACAATTTTAAATATTTTATACAAAGAGTTATCAAAAGTTTCTGAACGATTTTTATGCAATATAAAACATTTAATTTTTAAAACTCAATAAAAAATCTATATTATAACTTTATTTTATAAGTATTAAAGGTTACATTTTATACTATTAAACTAATATTTAATTAGCTACCTTCTGCCACAATCACTGCTTGAATTTATACTGGCATACTATCGACTAAATTTTTAATTACACATTTTGAAATTGATTTTCATGCATTTTTAACATCCCTTTCAAGATCAGCAAAGGTAGGTAGAACCAGTTTCAGCATGCCTTTTTAATGTGTCATATACTATTATTTTGCATCATCTAAAAGTTTACTATATGAATCACCATTTTTATAATAAAAAATTATTGCATCATGTTACTTTGCAGTTAATTTATTATTTTTCCATTGTTGTAGTTATAACCGTAAGTTGCAAAAAAAAGAGAAAAGGAAAATTTGAAGTTAAAATGTTATTTAAAGCAAAATAAATAAATAAACAAACATAAATATATGTAAACATTATTTTTTATATATATCAATCGCATTCCAAAAATAGCGTTCAGAAACTTTTGATAACCTTCTGTAGATATTCCATAGATAACTTTATCTGCAGATAATTTATAAATTATCTGCAGATAAATTTTTTAATTTACGCAGATATATACAGATATCTAGATAAATTATTTAGCTAACAGATATCTGCGAATTGTTTCAAATTATTCAGATTACATCACTACTTTTGTAAAGGAGATAATGTTTATAGTATAATACTTTTCTACATGTCTTCAGATAGTATGATAGATTTCTACAAATAGTCTAGTCTTATTCATAAATGATAAACTTTTTTTTATATTAAAGTAGGTGGGTGATAGTAGAAAATGTATGATTTACTGAAAATTATAAATAAAAGTTTTAATATTATTGAATAATAATTTGTTGAAAAATCTTATTTTTCATGTTAATAACTATGATATTTTGTATAATCCAATATTGAGTTAAAGTCATTTTCAATTAAAAAATGTCTTAAAGTTTGTAGTTTTAGGAATCCTTTTGTTTAATTTGTTTCTAAATTTAAAAATGAAATAATATTTTATTGTATTAACTTTTTTTTAAAAATATATAAAAATTAAAAATTTATTAAAAGCAATTCTACTATATTGAACGTAAACCAAAAATTTATTCAAAGTTTTATTTACAGATGGTTTAAGTATAAGGTGTAAATTTTATATGTTAATTTATAACTGTTTAATTTTTTTAGCAATTGTTTTTATTTTTGTGATTCATTTTTATAATAATTTATCATAATTTTTAATTAATATTTTAATCTTTGAAAGTGAATTTATATATTAAAACACTATATTGGTAAAATGAATCAAATACCTATTATTAGAAAAAACACAAAAATTTTTATTCTTAGAATATTTCTTATCTAAAGAAGTAAAACTTGTAATAAGCAAAAAACAAATTAAAGATATATGTATTTTTTTTTATTAAAATGTTTAGATTTTTTTTTTTAATATATTCTGAATCTCGCAGAATCACCTTCTTAGCTTTAAATATATAAGTTATTTATTTATTTATCTTTACATAATATTTTTTTTTTGTTTTACCAATATTTGATCTATTTTAAAAAAGATATATTATAATATAGTTGAAGATTCTAAAAAAAAGTACATCAATAATTATAGAAGGCATTTTACTATCTAAAAAAAAATTTATTGTGTAATTGAATTTCTTATGATTACATAGCACATGATTTAACAATAAATAAAAGAGAGAATATTATATTATGAATACTTTATCTAAGATCAATGATTTCATAATAAATATCATTATTTTCATAAAATTTGTTATATAATAATTTGGTAGTTTAACCTTTAATTTATATTATTAAAGTATTGTTTTAATAAATGCTTTAAGAATATTTTATATTAATTTTTTAAAATAAATAAATAATTAAATCTTCACCTCTTTTTGTATATTATAATTAAATAAAAATTTCAAATTATTTAAGAATCTTAATAAATCATAATTTGATATTTCCTAAGAATTAGTATTTTTATGAATATTTTATTATTATTATAAATTTTTTTTTAATCTTTTAAAAATATAAGCTAATTTATATATATATAATTTAAATAATTATAGAAATTGTAAATAAATCATTTAAAATTTTTTTAACTACTATTCAAATTTTTATTAAAATAAAGTATATTATTTTAATATATTATTAGGTTCATTTTCAATTATCTTAACATCTAAGTTAAAAGGTTACAATAGATTTTACATATTAAAGTTTCTGATCTTATGATTTTCTCTAAGTCTTATAAGTATTTGTTATATTTGAATCAACTCAGGCAATTTATTATATCTTAAAATTTAAGATATATTTAATCAAATACGTAATGACAAACTCAATAATAAGTTAGTTTAGGATATCATAATAAATCCTAGATGAGGAATAATGTTGAAGAGAAAGTAAATTTGTATAAATTTAAATTAATTTCTTTATTAATAACTTGAAACTTGCAAAAGAGTTTAGAAATTTACAAATAAATTAATTACAACTTAAGCAAAAAGCTATTCTATTTATACAAAATTAATTTATTATGGTTAATTATTTGCTATGCTATAAACTAACTATTTTAATAAATTTTAATTATAAAATAATAATAAAAGAAAATAAAATAAAAATATAAAATATAAGATAAATTATAATGATGATAAAAATAAAAGAAATAATAAAAATAATTATAATGAAAATAATAAATATGTAAAAAATTTAATAAAATAAACTAATCAAATAAATTAGATAAATCAGACGAATTTTGTAAATTTTACAAATCAGATAAATCAATCTGATTTTTTAATACAATATGTTAACCAAAATCTTCTTTAATATGATCTACATGAAATTAATCTAATGACTTTTGTAAATTATTTTTTTAAGTCAAATTTTTAACATGATAATATATAATCTAAATATTTATAGTAAAAAGAAAAAAATTATTTACCTTTTATAAATTAAATATAATTTTTAAATTATAAGTTTTTATTTAAATTAATTTATATAATTTAAAATTTGTCAATTAATATTTAAGATTTTAATAAATTTTTAAATTATATATATAAAATATTT